CGACAGATGTCCGCGCTTTGCTTACTCAACCTTGATGGAGCAAAGGTCCAGAATAAATGTAGGGGTGGCGGTGAGGGGAGCTCAGAGATGTCACTTGGTCTCTCTTGTGTCCTCCAAGCCCTAAACCTGGACATTCTACTCCCAAAACAGGTTCTGAGGTTGACCCCACCCCTGCCTCCCCGGTGGACACTGAGGGGGTGATGCCAGCTGACCACACACCTGTGCAGCTGAGCATGCGTTTCTGTCCCTGCCTGGGAAGTATACTTTTTCTTTTTCTTTTTTAAAATATGTATTTATTGATTTTAGAGAGACGGGAAGGGACAGGCAGAGAGATAGAAGCATCAATGAGAGAGAAACGTCAATCGGCTGCCTCTTGCAGGCCCCTACCATGGATTGAGCCCGCAACCCGGGCAGGTGCCCTGACTGGGCATTGGTCCGGTGACCTCTTGGTTCCTGGGTCAGGGCCTCTTGGTTCCTGATGCTCAACCACTGAGCCACACAGGCCAGGCAGAAGTTACCTTCATTAAGCTGCTGTAGGACCTAGGGAATTTCTGCCTTAAAAAGGCAACACACTTTTAGGAATAATGGTTTACAAAAATCAAACCAAAATAGAAATTCCTTGCCATGAACAACTTTGGGAACCCCAGGTGGCCTTGTTTAAAGACGTTGCCTTCTCTCCTTTATGAAACTACATTTAGCCTGTCTCCCCCCTGCTCGCCTGCAAAGCCTTAGCCCACCCAACACTATCAACTTGAATATTTAGTCTACTCTTCGAACAAAAAGACTTTATTTTTAGAGAAGTTTTATGTTCAGAGCAAAATTCAGAGGACGGTGCAGAGATTTCCCACACGCCCTCTGCCTGCTTCCGCTCATGCCCGCACGGCGCCCCCATCAGCATCCCCCCAGATGGTACATTTGCTACAGTCGGCGAACCTGCACTGACACACCATCGCCCAGAGTCCAGAGTTTACTTGGGGCCACTCTTGGTGTTGGGCACTCCGTGGGTTTGGACATGTAGCCACCATTATTGTATCGTACAAAATAGTCTCCCTGCCCTGAAAATCATCCTCTCTGCTCCGCCTATTCGTCCCCCTCGCCCTTGACACCACTGATCTTTTACCGTCTCCATAGTTTTACCTTTTCCAGGTGTATAGTTGGAATCACACAGTGTGTAGACTTTTCAGACTGGCTTGTTTCACTTAGTAATGTGCATTCAAGGTTCCTCCACCCTTTTCATGGCCTCATAGCTCCATATCTTTTTAGCGCTGGGTAATATCCCCTTGTCTGGCTGGGCCCCAGTTTATTTACCGTTCGTGCACTGAAGGACACCTTGGCAGCTTCCAGCTTTTGGCTGTTATGACTAAAGCTGCTATAAACATTCGTGTGCAGGTTTTTGTGTGGACGTACGTCTTCAACTCCTTTGGGTAAACACCAAGGAGAGCGATCGCCACATCATATGATAAGATTGTATGTTTCGTTTTGTAAAAAACTATCAGTGTCTTCCAGGGCGGCTGTTCCGTTCTGCATCCCCGGCAGTGAACGAGAGGTCCTGCGGCTCCCGTGCTCAGTGGCATTTGCTGCGGTCAGTGTCTGGAGTTTGGCCGATGTAATAGGTGTGTGGTGGTGTCTCATTGGCTTAATTTGCATTTCCCTGATGACAGAGGACGTGCAGCATCTTTTCATTTGCTTATTTGCCATCCAGATGTCTTTGCTGAGTTGTCTGTTAAGGTCTTTGGCCCATTTTTAAATGGTTGTTGTTGTTGTTTTTATTGTTGGCTGTAAGAGTTCTTTGTATATTTTGGATACCAGCTCTTTATCAGATGTGTCTTTTGCAGATATATTCTCCCAGTCTGTAGCTTGCCTTTTCATTCTCTTGACAGTGTCATTTGCAGAGCAGTTTTTAATGTTAATGAAGTCCAGCCTATTATTTCCTTCACGAATTGTGTCCTTAATGTCATATTGAAAAAGTCATCACCAAAGCCATAGTCATCTAGTTTTTTCCTATGTTATCTTGTAAGAATTTTACAGTTTTGTGTTTTACATTTAGGCCTCTCATCCATTTTGAGTTCATTTTTGTGAAAGGTGTAAGGTCAGTGTCTAGATTCATTTTTTTACATGTTATGTCCAGTTGCTCCAGCACCAAGAGAAGATGGTTTTCGCTTCATTGTATCATCTTCACGCCTTCATCAAAGATCAATGACTATATTTATGGGGTGCGTTTCTGGGCTATTTTGTTCCATTCCCCTGTCTTTACCCTGTGGGTCTGATGGACACATTAATGGACTTTGAAATGTTGAACCAGCCTTGCATGCTCAGAATACATCTCATTTGTTCATGGTGTATAATTCTTTCTAGACATTGTTGGATTCAATTTGCTAATGTTTTGTTGAGGATTTTTGCATCTGTGTTCATAAGAGATATTGGCCAGTAGTTTTCTTGTACTGGCTTACCTCTGCGCTTGATATTAGGGTAACATTGGCCTCATCAAGTGAGCATTCCTTCTGCTTCTACCTTCTAAATGAGATTGTAGAGACTTGGTACAATTTCTGCTTTAAATGTTTCGTAGACTATTCTAGTGAACCCATTTGGCCTCTGTGTTTTCTGTGTTTGAAGATTATTAATTATTGATTCAATTTCTTTAATAGATATAGGGTTATTCAGATTGTCTATTTCCTGCTCTAGGAGTTTGGCAGATGGTCTTTCAAGGAATTGGTTTGTTTTATCTGAGTTACCGAATTTTGTTTGGGCCTAGATTTGTTTACAATATTCCTTTACTATCCTTTTAATGTCCCCGAGATCTACAGTGATGACCCTTCTTTCCATTTCTGATATTAATAATTTGTGTCCTTTCTTTTTCTTGGTTTGCTTGGTTAAAGGCTTATTGATTTTATCTTTTTTTAAAAACTGGCTTAATGGATCATTAGTTTTCTCTATTGATTTCTCATTTTGATTTCTTTGATTTCTGCTCTAAGTTTTATTATTTATTTCTTCTATTTACCTTGGACTTAATTTGCTTTTCTTTTTCTAGCTTCCTAGGGTGGAATTTTAGATTACTCCTTCAAGTCTTTCTTCTTTCCCACTATATCATATTTAGTCTGGTCCCCTATCTTCACGGTGGCCTCCTCATTGCTGTGCAGAGCCTCACACAGTTGTCTGGGAGACACTCGTGTGTCACAGCTGCAGCGGAATCCTTTCAGGTATCTGGAGAGGTTTGCCTTAGGTTTGTCTGGGCTGCGGAGTGTTTCTAACCAGCCATGGCACTGTGGGCACATGGGCACAGAGCTCTGTGGGTTGCAGGTCCTCTGGGCAGGAGCCAGGCCCGGGTTTCAGTGAGTATTTATGGGAGTGAAGTGAACTCGCTAGTTCTTTAGATGGTAAATCGATGACTTTCCTCTTTTGTGTGTCTTTGTGTACCTGTGTGTTTGTGTTAGACAAACCATGTACTCCTAAACACCGGTCAGTGGCCCTCAGTTTGGGTGGCAAGTTGGAATCACGGGTGCAGCAGAAAACACGTTTGTGCTCAGGCCCCACCTCCAGTTCCTGATGGAGTCTGCCTGGGTGCGGGGTTAGCAAAGCTCTCAGGTAATTTTGACATGAGCCCAGGTTGAGACCGCTGTCCCTGACCCTTTCCTGTCATCAATCCCCGTTACCCCAGACGTGCATGAGTGTTATTTGTTAAGAAGTGGGGGGAAGAAGTCAATGTCAAGGCAGCACGCTCACAACACTAGGCTCAAGCTGAGCTCCTGGGGGCTCCCGGCTTCCAAGGAAGGGGCCTGCCCGCGCCACTCAGGTGGTCCTTCTGCGCCGGGCATTCTAAGGAGCTCCAAGAAGACTAAACAACCTCCATGGGAAGATGCCAGAAAGTCCTGTAAAAAGATTCCTTTCTGACTGTGTCCATGAGTTTACACCTTTACTGAGGCATAATGCAAGAGTCAGGGCTCCCTGGCCTGGGTGGTCTCTTCTCTCTGGAGCACACAGAGATGGGTGGGGAGGGGCCTGCCTCAGAACTGGATCCCAGGAGAGGAAAACGTGCTGCGTCATTTCAGTTTCTGCTATTGCCTTTGGCTGATACTTGGTAGAGCCCAGAGCAGGGCCCTGGACAAGGGTTCCTGTGCACACCTGGAGCATAGCTTTGGGGTGGAAGCGAGATGGGTGGCTCAAAGCCCAGAGAGCAGTGTCCCATTGGTGAGATGATGGGGGGGGGGAGACAAGAGTGACTACCCTAGGGAAGGGGGGTGCAATTAAGAACTTGGGGAAAGGAGAATATTAGGTCAACAGGAGAATAGACAAGCCCCTGGAGTCCCTGAGCGAGGGATGAGAGACAGCTGGTTGCCATAAGGGAGGGAGAGGCTCCCAGCAATAAGGTGGAGAGAGAGGTTGGGGCACCCAGGCATCCCAGACCCACCAAAGGGCCATCTAAGGGCCTGGAGGGGGAATGGGTGTAGCCAGGCACCTGCCCCCTGCCCCATCTCCAACTCCCTCTCAGAGAAGCAGGCCCCAGGCGGCTATGTCCAAAGCATGTTGGGAGATTGATCCTGGCCAGGCCTCCTACTGCCTTCTTCAAGCGTGGTCTGTACCCGAGTGTACCAGCTCAGTGTGTGTGTGGGGGGGTGGCCCAAGGACTGCCATGCAAAGGCCTGCAGGTGGGAGGGGCGGGGAGCCTGCAGGCCCCAGTGATGGTGCAGGACAGAAGACAGAGGCCTCTGTGATGGGTCCCATGAGGAAGCCTGGCAGGGGGCAGGGAGCTCACTGTGGCACCTGGTTGCAGAAGGTGGGGCGGCTGCGGCTCAGTCCTGGAGGGGGGGACGGATGAGCAGACAGAATGACAGGCCAGCAGCAGTGACCAGGGTCTGTGCAGATACCATCTCTGAGAGCACGGGGAGCCCCAGGCTCCCGGGAACTGATCCTCCAGTTCAGATGGTCTGGCTGGCACCGGGCAGGGCCTGCTCTGTCATTTATGCCTGTGGGCGACCCTGACCTTCCCTCCGTGCCCTTCACAGATCCGAACCAGGGACAGGATCTTCGACAGCATCAGCCACCTCATCAACCACCACCTGGAGAACAGGCTGCCCATCGTCTCGGCCGGGAGCGAGCTCTGCCTCCAGCAGCCCGTGGAGCGGAACCCGTGACCAGCCGGCCGCCCCTGGACGCTGCACCATGGACAGGAGGACTCGGTTCTCCCGTGGATGGGCATCGGCTACAGCACCGCGGCAGCTGCCCACAGGCTCGGAGCCGCGCTCTGAAGCCCCAGGAGGAAAGCGTTCGTAATGTGCAGGTTCCAAAACTTGTTCTGATTTCTCGTGTGCATAGCAGGGTGTACATACCTACACAGCCTGTACAGATGACCCTCTATATTTCTATTTTTTAAGACTAAGAAAGAGGTAAGACTAATGTTCTGTGTTGTATGTTTTTAATGAGAAAAGTTTGACTGTAGTTGTCTGGGCAAAACTTTAATTCAACTGATCGTTCCACTGGGAAAGTCCGCCAGGAAGGGATGACCCGAAGTTTCCTATCAAGCACAACACGGGGAGCGGAAGCGAGCGGGAGAGCCAGTAACTGGCACAGCGTGGAGAGAGAATCAGGCAGGAGGCCTCCCCGGAGGCCCGGGCCCGCGTGCGGGGCAGTGTGACCGCTGGCTCTGACGGTGTCCCTCCTCCAGACGCCGCCGGGCTGTCTGCATCACACCTGCGCGCACAGGTGTCCAGCACCTGGGGGCCCCCGCAGCTGCCCTAGGCAGCAGGCGTTACCTCAGCTGCGTCCGGTCGTGCTGAGCACAGGGATGCTCACCCCAGGATTCCGGTTGTCCAGGGGTTCTTGGGGATGCATTTAGCTGCCAAATATGGCACAGAATAAGCCTCACTAATGAATATCTTGACTGGCAAATGCTTCCCTTGTTTCTATCTGTGTAATGATAAATGAGCAACTGTGGAGGGGTAGCTGGACAGAGCCTTGATGGATGTCCTTCGGGCCGATCATTTGATTCCAGACTGCTCCAGGAGCTTCTGGTGAAACTGCCCCCACCCCTTACGTTCAGTAGGAGGAAAGCACGTGTACAAACTGTACGTGCTCAGAGCTCTGTGCTGGAGGCCTCAGCACCAGCCGACCCTTCCTCCTGGGTCCGTGTTCGCCTGGAGCTGGGGACTTCCGAGAGTCAATGTCAGTTTCCGCTTCTGGAGTGACTGGTGGGTGAGGTGACTGGTTGTCTCTTTAGCAGGTTCCCCTGTCGCTCCCTGAAAAGGCATGTGAGCCACGCAGAGTGGAGTGTGGCTCCCTTGGTTCAGGTAAAACACTGAGTTCCAGATGGATTTTCTGGTGTTGGGAAGTTGGCAATGTTTATGACCTTAAAATGTATCTGGGATGAGATTACCGTGTGATTGGGCAGGTGCCTTTTAGAAGGCCAAGGATTCATGTGTGTGCTGGCACCTCCTAGCCGGGACTGCGACACTGGCCCTGGCCCTGTGACCCCCCAAAGTGTGCCCACCTCCTGGATCAATGCCACTCAAAGGCGCTCCNGGGCCGAGGATTCATGTGTGTGCTGGCACCTCCTAGCCGGGGCTGCGACACTGGCCCTGGCCCTGTGACCCCCCCAAAGTGTGCCCACCTCCTGGATCAATGCCACTCAAAGGCGCTCCCCATGCGCTGAGACTTGAATCGTGATAACTTTGGTGCTTCAAGACTGAGGAGCTAAGGAGAGATTTTAAAAATTCTAATAAGCACTATTTCTGCAAAATTCCTAAGTGTGTGGACCCACATTTCCACTTTTGGGGATCTGTGGCCAGGATGGGAGAATGGGAGATAGCTGATGGGCAAGGACGGGTTGGAGCAGGTCCAAGGCTTCTTGTGTAGCCTTCTTTGGAGTTCTTGGCCTTTGAGGGTCTAGTGCATCCAAGCTGATAGTAGCTTCAATCTTCTAGAATGTTCCGCAGTGGATCTGAACTAATCAGGCTATCCCTGCTGCTTCCTGGAATGGCTCTGGTTTCAGGGGCAGTGTAAATGCCTGGCCCCAAGTCACCTGGCAGCAGTGGGGGCTGAGGGGGTTGCGGGCAGCAGCTGGCCCTGCCTCAGGCCCTGCCTCAGGCCCTGCCTCTTGGCCTATGACAACGCAGACTCCAGGGTGCTGGGGGGACCGGCCCTGCGCTCCCCTCCGGGAGGCCTGCAGCCCTGTGGGCGCACATGTGTGTCTGAGCTCCGTGAGGAAGCAGGAGCCTTCTCTGTGTGTGGTGTGCACACATATAAAAACAGACGGGATGGCTCTCCTTTCCACAGCCTCTCGGGCCCCACTTGCAAGGCCAAGAGCTAGCGTGACAGGGAAAGATCGAGTGGAGTGAAGGTTAGGGACCATGAGCACCGAGCATTTGACCTGCTCTGCTTTCCTCTTGCACCTGCAGCCTGAGTGGCTGCGGGCTCTGAAGTCAGTGTTTATCTCAGCGATAAGCAACATATAGATGATGTTTTTTGCATGAGAATCAACTTAGAAAATTAAAAGTATTTGGGGATCAAATTTTGTTCAACATGAGTTCAAAATATGCATTCCAAAGCTCAGGTTATGAGCCCAGGGAGCAGGCCTGAGGCACGAGGATGCAGGGTTTCCCTCGGCCCCCTCCACTTGTAAAGCATGGTAGAGCTTACGTGAATCAGCTCATCTCTTCCCTCAGGCTCCTGCCATGGGCATAACTGTGAGCCTCACTCACAGGCAGGGAAACTGAGGCTCCAACTTGCTCCCAGCCTTGCCGTTGGTGGGCGGCAGAGCTGTTCTGCTCATTCCTGGTTTCCCCAGCTCTGCTGAGCTTGGAGGCGCGACTTGGAGGCCGATGTGATGGGGCCTTCTCCCTCTCCAGACTGAGTCCCTCCTCCAGCACTTTCTCCCACTGTGTCCCTGCCTGGGCAGAGGGGGTGGGCGGTAAGCATGTACACTGCTCCACGGCCCGATGCCAAGGACATGTCCTGTGGCCACACACAGCCACCCTGGGCCCCTGGAACACATTCCGGGCCTGCTGCCCCTCCCATGGGCCCCTGGCCACTCGACCCAGGTCCCCTGGGTGTGCTGGGAGCATAGGGTGGCCCCGCAGGCCTCTGGAGCCCCACTCACTCCCCCTCCCACTGGGACCAGCCTGTAGGAATTCCCTGTGCTTCAGATGACACTCTGGTCCTGCTGGGAGCTGTGGGACCCCCTAGGAAGCTACGCAGCTCTGGTTTGTCAGCTTGGATGCTTGACTAAGGGAGAGCCTGAGTGGCCCGGTGGACAGTCTGATAAACGAGGCACTGAGACAACTGCCAGTCTGCATCCTGCACTTAAGTTACCACTTCTGGCCTTTTTAAAATTATTATTTGAGAGGCCAAAGGACTGGCTCACACTCAGCCTTGACCCATTTCAGCAGCAATTCTAAGGCTGTCTCGGTGTCAAGTTGACCGACAAAGACCCAACTGGGAGATACGTGGTGTCCTGAGGGTTCTCTGGTGGAGAGGGTCACCACCGATAGTTTCCGATGAGGACAGAAAGTGACAAGCTATGGAAGGAAGGGCAGGCCTGGGGGAGGGGGAGGGGATGCAGCAGCAATGTGTGTGGCCCCCAGAAAGACCCCCAGGCTCGAAGACACTGTGGACATGTTTTCTGACTCCACGCCTGTCCCGGGGTCCTAAAGTTTTCCCTCAGGTGGGCGCAGATGCTGGGTGGCTCCTTTATATAAGCAGTGCTTTAAACCGATGGCCCTGTCCTGTTTCCCTGAAATCAGTCACTACCTGAAGGCCAGTCCTGTTTCCTTGGATCGCAGGGTCCCCGGGCAATGCCAGCAGCTTGGCTCTGCACACGAGGCCGCGGGCCTGGCGCTAGTTGCTGTTTGTGAGCCGGGGCTGCCCCGCTGCGCCGCAGGGCTGTGCCGTCCCCAGTGAGGACCGTGGGTGTGGAGATTTAGCACAAGCATGAAGGACGGTGTTGCTCCAGCTGCGTCACTTCTCTCACTGGCCCGGGGTGTCCGGATGCCACACGCCTTCCCGTGAGTGCCGACCACCCTAACTGGGGATGCAGAGAACGGCGGGAACACTGTAAATAGGTAACTGCAGGACACAGACAAATCTTGGCCTTGGGTTTCAGAATTGTACTCTGGTTCTGTAGTGAAACTTATAAAATTGGTCCTGAGAAAGAGAAGTGGGAAAACGACTTTGCTGGACTGTCGTTCTCCCCAGAGGACCATGGGCAAGGGGGCGTCATGGGACAGTGCAGCTGGAGGGACCCACTTTTCAGAGAGGGAACTGGAACCAGGAGACTGTGGGAGGCGGTCACTGGCTGAATCCAGGACAGAGCGCAGGACTTATTAGGGTCCTTCAGGGCTTGAGTAAAGCTCACCCTGGGGGGACATGGCGGATAGTTCTTCCATCCTTGGGCTTACGTTTACCTGTCTCTTTTCCAAAATGCATAAAGGCTTGCAGGAGTCGTCACAGGGACACTCCGGAAATGTTTCCATGCCTCTGTGTAGTTTGGGGAGCCTTCAGCAGCAGACCCTGAGAGAGGATCTGTGTGGATGTGGTGTCTCTGGGTGGTGACCCAGGGGTGGGGGAGGGAAGGAAACTGACAAGCACACACACAGGCAGGCAGATCACCAGGGTGCAGACAATTAACCGCATGGGGACTGCGGGAGGCAAGGCTGGGCACGCCTCAGAGCTGAGCCACTGGACAGGCGGGCTGGGCACTCGCCCAGGCATCTGGCACCCCACACCTGTGCTCACCCCCCGGCTCGGAAGTCCTCTGGCAGAGAGGCAGGAGCTCCTGCTAGGCAGGCTTGAGGTGGGACGCAGCCATCAGAGCCACCAGGGGCCCTCCCGAGAGCTCCTGACTAGTAGGTTCAGATGGGGCCTGAGAATTTGCATTTCTAATAAATTGTGAGTGATGCTGGTGGGCAGTCTAGACTTTGAGAGCCACCGTCAGGTGTGAGTTGCCAGCCCTTACATATCCCTTATTGATGGCTTTCTTCCTCTGTGATTATACAGGGTCAGGCAAAAGCAGGTTTACAGTTGTTCATATGGAAATTAATGCAATTAATAAATAATACAAGAACAAACTCTGCTGCACATGCTCACAACTGCAGACCCGCTTTGCCCCCTGCGGCTCTTGCCACCCCACGTCATGGATCCCGGGGTCTGTGCCGGGAGTTTGCAAGGGGAGGATTCCTCAGCACTTAGAACTCCATGCAGTCACTGCTGGGAGACAAAATGCCATCAACCAGCCACCATCTATTTATAATGGGCTTTATGCATATTTATAAGTTTGCAAGCAACCTAATGCAGTTTTAAAACTGGCACAGTTTATAACAGCCGGAAAAACTATCATGTGAGAACTTGGAATGCCGGTCACATGTGTGTGTACATACACAGACGCACACCTGCGCTGGTCATCGCATACGTGCACACACACACACACACACACACACACACGCCTGCGCTGATCACGATGGTCGCGTGTCTGCCCATGTGCCCACGAGGGCGGCTCTACAACCCGCATAGGGGAGAAGGGAGCATTCGTCCTGTGGCCACCCAGCAGTGCGCACCTGTGGGTGGCCAGGGTGGCAGATGGGTCCTCGGCGCGGTGCCAGGGCCGGCGAGCGCTGCTCTCCTCCAGCAGCTGGTGTCTGGCACACTTCTCAGGGTTTCCAACCACCTTCTCTTGGTCTCGTCCGCACACTGTTCACACGCGGCAGGCCCTGCGCTGGCTACGGGATAGAGACGTGAATGACGGGAGTGCCCGTGTCGCTTCTTTTCCTTCCTGAGTTCACAGGGCTGATGAACCTCTTAGGCCCCTAAATCACAAGGCTCCCTCCCGGGGGCTGGAAGAGCCACTTTCATGTGGGAAATGAAATCTCAAAGGCTCCGCTCTGTTGAATCACCTTGAAACGCTGTAGGTAGAAAAATGTGCACGTGGGAGCGCACACTGTGGTCCTAGGGTTCGAGGGGGCCCAGTCACACCTGGGACGTGTCCCCATGACCAGGGCTTCTGCCACCAAATCAGGTGACAATGAACAAAGCAAAAGTGAATGGGAAAGTCCATCCCTAAAACTGAATTACCTGTAACTGTGTGCTGGTTGCAAATGGAATGTCCTCTGTTCATTTGACTTTTGAATATAACTTGTTCTAGAATAAATATTATAAAATTAAGTATGTGAATGTCCTTTGTATTCAGATTTAAACAAGAATTAAACATTTGATCTTCAAATCCAAGGATTAGGTGAGAACTCCACATAAATTTAATGCGTAACGATAAGATTTATTACTTTTTAGAAAAGCATTTGGATGACAAATTATACATGTTGATAAATATTATTTAAAAATTTTGTGTTTGGTTTTCCATTAACTTTCGTGACATACAAGAGTTACTGTAAAGTTCTGTCTGGGCCGACGGCCCCTCCGCCACCTTCTCCTTTGGTACTGTGACAAGACTGCAGAGCAGGCCCCTGGAACCGAGGGCTGGACACACTGACTGCGGGCTCTGCCACCACCACTCCACGAACAACGCGAGCACCAGGTTACCTGGCCGACATTCGGGAGCGTCGGCGACACAGCGGGGAAGAACTTGGCTTCAGTGCCCTCCTCACCTTCCGAGGATCCACGTTACTCCTTCAGGAAACGACGTGGCTCCAGCTGCAAGCCCTCGGTGACGCACCCGGCACGTCCCTGTGCCTCTGGGGTGGCCGGTGGAGGGCTGCTCGGCCCCAAGGGTCGTTGTTGTGTCCAGGGGGGAGGCTGCGCCCATGTAGGCAATGCTGCACTTGTCACTGGTTATCAGAGAATGTGCCTTCATTTTCAGAATAGTGGTGTGTGCATTTCTATGTGGCAAACCCTTGGCTATCTGACGCAGCTACTCAAACACTGGATCGAGGGTTTGCGCTCCCAGAGACAACTTAAAAGCATGGACTTGTAACTTAGAAGTTTTCTATAAAATACACCTTGTTACATTCCGTGAAAAGCTCTCTGCCAGCTCAGAAGAACCATGGGTCGGGGTTGAGATAACAGCTGTTTTCTACACCGTCCGTTGTTTAAATGATTGTCCTTGTAACTGTGGCCAATAAAGAAAATCATGAAAAGCCTCTCATTTGGAGAGTGGATCTTGTGTTGCCTCAAAAGAGGGGAAGGAATCTGAAACCTTCCCCAGAAAGCAGGTCCTCTCAGGCTTCTCCAGGAGCTTCTCCAAACCCAACACAACCAAGCGCTGCCTGCTGGCCCAGGGTGTGGGGTGAAAGCGGCTCTGGGCACACGCGTGCCCGAGGGGCCTCCTGTGAACTGACTGGCCGTGGGCAGAATCCGAGGTGGTACAGGCTTGGTGCCCGGCTGTGCTGGGGAGATTCCTCCGGCTGCCATCACACTAGTTATGCCGAATGCTGGCCTCGGTCTCTGCAAAACACAGGACACACACACACACTCTCACACACAGACTTACTGTTCGTGAGGGAGGAGGCTGGGGAAAGGGCCAGCTCTGACCTCTTCTCCCTTTGGCAAATGGGGCAGAACCAACACCCCATCTCTTGGCCCTGCCTTGACTGGCACGGCCCCCACCTCCGCCCTGTTCAAGGGCAGCCCACGGACCTTCAGCAGCCTGCCTATCAAAGCTGGAGCGGCCCTCTCCACCTCACCTCGCGGACCACGAGACGCACCGATGGGGAAGTGCAGGGTGGAGGGGTTACCAGGGCCCTGGGGGCTTAATTCCTGAAGGGACACTTGTCCCAGGTGAGCAGCCAAGCTGCCACCTTGCATACCTGCAGGGGTGGCCCTGGCGCACCCCACATGGACTCCCAACAACGGTTTGTACAAAAGCTTTGGTTTTATTTTTTTAACACAAGTATATGAGACATAATGCTGGTTACTAACCGAATGAGGCCTAGTGGGAGGTCTCCCCGTGGCTCTGAAACTGTCAGCTTCTACGTCCCCAGCTGCACAGCTAGGGGTGCCCGCGTTGCGTTAAAGTTGATAATTTTTTGCACATATCATATGAGCACAATTACTTTTTTGAGTATTTTTCATTCAGTTGCTTGAACACTTTGTGTTATTTCAAAGGGAAGTTGTGGCTACAGTGCCAAGTGTCATTAATATTAGTCCCCGAGATCTGGGCCCCCAAAGCAACTTGGAGCTATGACAGAAAGTTCTGAAGTCATGTCACGACTAAGTGAAATGTAAAACCTGACATTCGGCGCTCTGGTGCATTTTCTTCACCCAGTACCATAATGCTTAACTTGCTAGAAATGCCCTGGGTTTTCTCAGGTTGTGCGGAAAAGATGCTCCTTTTAAGTGACATAAAGAAGGTGGCAAAAATTGCCACTGATGAGTCTCTCCTTACAAAAAGGATTTATGTCATCAGTAATAACAATGAACAAAGTCTCTGGTCAGTGCATGGAGATGCCCCAGGACCCACGGGAATGTCCCTTAGTGACAGGAGCTGGCATCAGCTAAAACAGGGGTCAGTTTCTTTGCAGAAAAGTTACTGCATTAACACTACTCTAGTCTTTACTCAGGTAACATTCTCACTGGACCTAAGAACTTCAGGGGCGCTCGTGGGAGGCTTCCCCGAGTCAGAATCCTTTTGAAGGTTGGTTGCTTTGTTTTTACACAGAGCTCCACGCGTCAGCCATGTGCTGCGAGAGCTGCGTGGCGGGTTTCTCTCCGCCGGCCCGCAGACAGAATCCTCGGGGAAGCCGCCCGCGCCCGCGCGTGACCCCTGATGAGGCAGACACAGGGCCGGCCTATGCTGAAAATCCGGTTACGACGGTACATCTTTGAAGGGAGCACAAGCCACCAGCTCACGTTCCCTGTCCTGACAATGAAGCTGCTCGGACAGTGCCTGCCAGGTCGGCTTCCCGGTGGTCATGCCACTGCGGCTGGCCCAGCTCCTCGGCTGTGACAACACCGGGGTTAGACTTGTGCTTTCCTGGGGCAGAATGGAACTGAACACAGGGGCTAAGCGCCGTCTTGTAAACCTGTCCTAACTCAGCAGGAATTTTCCATTGAACAGGTGGCTGCTTCCGGCAACTTGGAAAGATGAGCCTGGCCAGGGGTCTGTCCTTGCTTCTCCCGAGTGGGTTCATTTCTTAGTTGGTCCGGGGCTCAAGATCCTGGAAGACCTTGGACAACTTTTCCATGATTTGGGGAAACTCGTGAATAATCATGTAATTTGGCTAATTTGGCTCCGGGTGTCCTTAAAACTGTGCAGAGACACCCAACAGGTCCTCGGGGTCCTGTACCCACAGAACTTGGTTGTTCTCACCAGGATCCTCCAGACACTGATCTGCATGTCTCAGGACTGTGAGAGTCGGACCCATACTCTGGGACCAGCCTTGACACGGCCTTTTTGAGAATGTTGGCATTCAGAACCTGCTCTGCTCCAGACTTCACGTCTGCCTGAGACTGGGACTGGTGTCGCCTTGTTCCCGGTCATGTCCTGATAGCTGGGGGTTTGGTCAGGACGCGCTCCTGCTGCCCGTGAGCTGCGCTGGGTGCTGCGGCTCCTGCACGTGCCCAGAGCAGACACCTGAAACCCCGGCGTCCTGCACCGTGTAAGCGACGGTGGGACTCAGGGGAGGTCACCTGGGAGCTGCACTGACCGCAGCAGCTTGGGACATTTGGAAGGCTTGGAGCCTGAAACGGACAAGAAACACTGTCTACACTGAAATGGGTTGGGGAGTCCTTGAGTCCCAGCCTTAAGAGACACCACACTCGGCAGGCCGATGGCAGAACAGATTTCTCGAGTCTCAGCTCTGGCAAAGCCCCGGTGATGCCCACGGTAAATGAGGTTGTGGTCACAGGGCCGGGTGCTCCTCCCATAGAGATGTCGGACCCTGCTCCTCGAGGCTGGCCCTCACTTGCAGAGGGTCCCGTTGTGCAGGGTCTTGTTTCTGTCAGTGATGCAGGGTGAGCTCACCGCTCGGGGCACGTCTTCCTTGCTCTTCGGGGAGGGGCTGCTGTTGTTGCTGACGCTGGACTTGCTCTTGCTCGGATCAAGAGCGAGCTGGATGGGCAAGGAGCGGGCGCCCTGGGCCCTGACCAGGCAGTTGCAGACCAGGCGGAAGAAGGCGCGCCGCATCTCCTTGCTGGCCAGCGTGTAGATGACGGGGTTCATGGCGGAGTTGAGCACCGCCAGCACGATGAACCACTTGTCCCTGAACAGGACTGCGCACTCCTTCACTCTGCAGGCCACGTCGGCGAGGAAGAGAATGAAGAGTGGGGACCAGCAGGCGATGAACACGCTCACCACGATCACCACGGTTCGCAGCAGCGCCATGGACCGCTCCGAGTTGTTGGGGCTGGCCACCCTGCGGCTGCTGGACTTCACCAGGCAGTAGATGCGGGCGTACAGGATCACGATGGTCGCCAGGATGGCGGTGAAGATGCTAATGCAGAACGCGATGTACTTCTTGGAATAGAGGGGCAGGATGGTGGAGCAGTCGGGGAGGTTTTGCAGGCAGTTCCAGCCCAGGATGGGTAAGGCGCCCAGCGAGAATGCGATGAGCCAGCACATCCCGATCAGGAGGAAGACACGGTGCTTCTTGTTGGCGTCGTAGGGCCTCATCTTGATCATGGTCAGGTGGCGCTCGATGGCGATGGCCAGCAAGCTGCAGGTGGACGCCCCGAGGGCCACGAACATGCTGCCTTCCCTCAGGAACCACACCGTGGGGGAGAGGCTCAGCGTCTTCTTGCCCGACATCAGAATGTTGACCGTGTAGGCGATGCCGGCCAGCAGGTCACAAAGAGCCAGGTTGCCGATGAAAAAGTACATGCGGTTGTGAAATTTGTTGTTTTTCCAGATGGCAATCAGAACCATGAGGTTCTCCAGGACAATGAAGCTGCAGATGACCAAGAACAGCACAGTGGTGAGGGTGCGGCCCTCGGGGGCATCCTTCAGCCTGCCGGCCAGCTTGCCCACATAGCTATAATGTTCGTACAGAGTCCCGTTCCCAGGCAAGGGCCTGGGGCTCGGCGTGAGGACGTTGGACATCACTTGGAATTCACAGATGGCCAGCCCCAAATCCACCAGAGGGCGCCTTGGGAACGTCCATTTCTAGCAGAGACAGGCTCAGGCTTCAGTAGTGATCCTGGCCAGGCTCCCGCGGGGGTGTTGAGCATGGGCTCCTGCAAAGAGAAAACGGAGGGGCCAGTGATAAGATCACACCACCTAAGAGCATGGGTGACAGCAGAGCTGGAGAAAGGCGCCAAATATGCTGAAGCACTTGGATGGCTGGTCCTCACGGGCTCAGAGAGGGTCTCTCAGCACAGGCCAAGCTCCTGAGGTGCTTGGTGTCTGCAGTTGCCAGGAGGGGGTTTCGAAGCAGAAGCCATGGTCATTCACTCCTGTCACCATGATGCACAGGCCCAAAGAAAATGTCCCTCTGGAAATGCTACCAATTAATTCCGACCTACCTGCTGCACGGGAGCTGACAAACCATTATTATCAGTCACCAAGAGAAGGTGCCCACCTGGTTTTTGACAGCTCTCTGGGAGTCCTGGGGTGACATCACAGGATATGCCCACACTTCCCCGACTGCCTTCCCTGGAACTAACCAGGGCTAAGGACAGAAATCAGACCAGTTGGCCCTTAGGTCTGCAGGGCAGAAAGCCCTGACACCGGCCACACTGCCACTTACGGAGGGATAGTGTAGGAACACGAAACCACTTCACTAGTGAGTAGCTGAGTGTGGGGCTGGGGGGAAGGAATACAAACCTGTAGAAGTGGAACCAGTTTTCACTGAGGCAAAAGGGAGAAAGAGGGAGCCCGCGGGCTCTGAGTTGGCCTAAAATTCAAAGGTCTGAATATCCGCTTTAACTGTCTAACCCAGTGCGTGTGAGCCTGGAAATACTAACCCAGCACGTGTGAGCCTGCAGACACTAACCCAGCAGGTGTGAGCCCAGAGAAACAACCCACTAGTGAGACTAGTGAGACAGTGAAGGTGGGTGAGCCAGGCCCTGTATGCTCCTGAATTTTAACCCTTCCCCCACCC